GAACCCACGAGCATTAAGTGATTCCCTATTAGGGGTTATCGAATGGCGTCAAATTCAAAATCTGAGAAGTGTGCTGTGCCTGCAGATAATAATCCGACACCTGCGCTATCCAATGCTCACAGTCGCGATCTTCGGGGCTCATATATGAGTATTTTTTGCATCAGCCGTAGTGTGCCATCGCTCCACGCGCAGGCCGTCCGCCGAAAGCCCTAGCCTATCGAGGTGTGATTTGAACAAAAGTGTTATGATTGCAGCTGATAGCCATCTACAAGTGCTATCGAATGTTACAGCTGCAGTCATCGATTTTGATTACTTGTGTCTTTTCCGGGCTGCCGAACTATGGTTATAATTCCACGGACACTCCGGCCGCAGTCAGCTATTCATCGTCATTAGGTGATCTCAACAAATATGATCATGCCGACCAAGCGTAAATTTACATTCTCGCACGACAGTGCTCCGGCAATGGTATAGTGAGCAGAAGGTTGCACCTGGCATTTACGAAAAAATCAAAATTGACGCCGTACCGATGCAGATAACGAAAGGTTGCAGTTTCCGCCCATAGCTAAAAGTATTGGAAATGATACATTGCAAATCGCTGCTCTAACCTGCAAAGAGTGATACGCTGTTGGCAGATCAACCGAATAAAATCGAAACCAAACCACACGAGTGTGTCTTTGCTGTGTCTTTAAGAGATGCTGAAGAGATATTATTTAGTCGTGGAAGCACTTTCGGCCGGCAATGCAAATGTTGCATCAACAGACATGTTATTTTCTGTTATAAGGACCCATATACGACTAGTTGGCTAACTGCAGTCGGCTTGCCCGTTAAGTGATGACCATGATACTGTGGCCCGGAAAATATACTTATAATTGGACTCCAAGATTGCGACTGTGTGCATTAACACTTTTATAGGGCATTCACTGCAAAAACAACACACTGCTCAGGTTTTGGATCCAATGTTATTCGGATGACCCCCGACAGGTATCACTTGCAGGCTTCTCGGAGTGTTGATTTGCTCAGATGCGACGTTCAATGTGATATAGTTGTTCTTGCGTGTGAAAGGTGAACAGTGGGCACATGATGTCCGTGACCGACTGTCTCGCATTGGTCGACATGACCTTTTGCGTTCAAATCACCAGCTGACAGCGCGCAGCTAACTGCGGCAGGCCTGCACTTAGACTCATGGCCATGCTACGGCGACCTGGGCAAACTGCTGACAATCAACCCCGAAGATCGCAACTGTGTGCATTCTATAGCGCTGATATGGGGCTATCAGCTGTCATCATCGTATACGCGTGGGATTTTAGTGCAGATTTCATTCATCCGACACCCGATTGCGTATCACTCCATGGCTGTGGGTCTGCCGCGGCGGTGATTTGCACAGATGCCGCGTCCCATTGGGAATGCTTTTAGCTGTTCCCGGAAACTGCAACCTTGCGCACGCGTGTTTTGTCATTAGCTCCCAGGATATGCACCTTACGCTAACGATTTTTTTATTATCTTTACAAATACCTTGGAGCTCCGATGCCCCTCAGCGTTGCGCCTGACAGATAATAACCCGCCTCGCTTTGATGTCTTGACACCAATGACGTCACGCTTGCCTTATGCGAAGATGAAGCGAGTATCACCGGTCATGTCTTCCCCTGGTATATGGCATTGGGGGTGCATGGTTGGTGCGCATATATTTATTTCCAAGTCGTTAGAGACTTTCTGTTTAGAGAGTTCTATGGGTATTTGGTGGTATCTTGCGGTTTCGGAAATATATTTTTGCCGAGGCTTCGGCGAATAGATCTGGGTTCGAAGCGGTTGTCTTGGTTTTTATGGCAAATGCCATGTAGTGGTGGGTGGGACGATTGTCGGGTCGTGCAAGCATTCTGCTCCTTCTGCATCGTTCCAGCTCAAGATACCGATATCTATCTACCACGATGAATACGATAATGATGTGTCAGTTGCCACGACCTACGTGGCCACGCTGTACCGCCTTGCATTCAATGGCGGTAGGTGGCCGCGGAGCGCGGAGCTCCTGAACAAACAGTAAGGTGCCTGCCTACCAGGCGCGCAGCCAGTGTTTGCAAGGGGGCACAAACTTGAAAAAAGGCCCCTGATAGTGAAAGGTCTCCCTCCAAAAAATCGCCGGGTGTGGCCCATCTGATAGGGAGGGCGTGTTTTTCTTCGATATTTATATTGTTTCCTTCTATAGGTGGAATAGAAGCCAGAAGTTAGTGCCGGATAAATTCTGCCTGAATCTTAAAATTAATAAGGTGAAGAAACCATACGTTAAGTGATAACATGAAATAAATCGCCGGCGCTCTCCATTTTATTATGCTACAGTGGACTGTTTCTAAACCGGTGGGACACAGAAGCTTCGTCAGCATTTTTGTCCGGGCTGTACGGAAATATTAGGGTCCTGCGAATGCATATTGTACATCGAGATGGGCCAACAACAGTGTTGACATGGTCAAACCATGTTTGTCCGAAAATGTACAACATTCAGACAGAATCGATTAGGGATATAGATTACGCAACATAGTTTTGAACATGCGCGCACGTAAATTTTTAGAAACGAAAATTTCGACGCCAAGCGTTGCAGTCTCTACCGGCGGGCGTTGCAGTCTCCGCGTCGGTTCGCGGTTTATGTTAAGCCGTTAGCATGGGTGTACAAACATGACGCATCTGAAAAGGGTACCTCTGAACGCTCGAGGACACCAGACCATACATTTAGAAAGTAGCTCGGGCGTATATTTTACCTGCGCGATTTTAAGATTGATCACAAGCGCGGATTAGTCTTTACAGGGCCGCCAAGTGGTTGAAATGTGACGGTGGAACTGGTAGAGCAAATGTAGAATCTCTATTTTCCGCGCTGCTGTAACGGTTAATCTCCCCATAGGACAACCTCAAAGTTAAAAAAGAATAGACCCAGTCTAATCTTGGACCGGTACCAGCTAGGTCTGAAAGGCCTTAGGAATATTGTTTTCATGGTAGCTGCTCTTGCACGCGTAGCGCCCGCTGTCGGGTGTTTTTTTTTGTAGTTACTAACGCCGTTCAGGAACCTGCAACACATTCCCTCGCTCTTCTTGCCTGCGATATTTCGGGCGCACAGGTTCAAACCTTTTGATGAAATTTGTTTCACTGGTTGATACTGTAAAGGAATGAACTTTCTCAGGCAAACATGGGATGGCCTTGCCCGTTTTCAAACTCAATTCGGTCCACTCTATTCAACACTCGAGTCCCCCTTCAGTCCCTCTGTCTTTTCCGGGTAAGGTCCCCTTGAGTAGAACACTGGGGGACATATGTTGTTCCCGGTGAAGGGCTGAAGGGCCACGAGAGACCATGTGATTTACAGCCAGCCCTTTGGGCTCTTCAGCATTCCCATCGAGCTCTCCATCTTTAGTCTCTAAAGACCCTTCGTGTCCTCTTCAGGCTCCCTTAAACAACGCTCCTGGCCGACTCGGGGCCTCTTGCCGCCACAGTTCGGTGCCGTGGCCCCTCACAGACACAGAAGCCCCTCATTGTGTTAGGGACTCCGAACATCGCAAGTCGTGGACCCCGGCCTCGTTCATGCTTGGAAATTGGGTTCATAAGGCCCAGAGGGACATAAAACCGACTAGTTGGCTCCGTGTTTAGGCCGCATACAATGGGGATAGAGAACTCTAATAAGAGGGCCCTTATAGAAGCTCTCGGACTGATATTTCAGGTCACGGCTTTACGGGGGGAGTGGGGGGGGGGGGGGGCTGGGCCCGATTCCAATCATGCCCGTGATCGTTGGTCCCAAGGGTCCTCGGGGCCCCCTCCGGACTCCCGAAAGTACGGCTCGTGTCGACTGGAGCCATTTACCGACACCGGACCCCTATAAGGTGCTGTAGGCCCTTGATCGACACCCTTATGGTTTCAGTGACCTCAACTAATGCAAATCGTGGGCTCAGCCTGCTCCCGGATTTGTCGCTGATTGGGAAGTGGGCCCTCAGGACCATGCCGACACGGAGCCGACTGTGCGGCACTGGTGGTGCCTGACCGGCATATGGGCTTATATCGACTCAAGTGGTCCCCGATCGTCACAAAAAACGTCGACTGTCATTCGGGGGGTCCGTCCCCGCAGGCCAGATGCACTTCCTTCAATCGGGCCCTTGATCGTTGGCCCCGGTAGGCCCCTGCCTCTGGCCGATTCGGGCCCCTTGCCAACACCGGGCCCCCTGTTAGGCGTTGTGGGTTCCTGATAGGTGATGGGGCCCCGACCAATGCAAATCGCTGGCTCCTGCTTTGTCCCTGTTTGGGGGAATAGGCTCGTAGGCCCGTGCCGACACGGAGCCGACTGCGCGTTATTGGTGGTGCCTGACCGACATATAGGCCCTTATCGACCCAGAGGACCCCCAATCAGCGCACAGGGCCCCCTGACCAGCATTAGAGCGCTCGGTCCTACGGTCCGAGCCCCTGAATACAACATCCGACCGGCCTTTCAGGGCACTCGGATCCTCATCGGATATTTTTCGTAGGTCCATGAGGGGCCTGAAGGGCCCCTGGAAACCAAGGGGGCCTGCGTGTTCTTCGTACTCCTCTGCTTGCTCCACTGGTGCATAACGGGAAACATAGGTAAGAGTGCTTGAGGACTGAGGCTGGTCCCATCAACTTCGTGAAGTGTGGATTTTTGCCACGCAAAGATCGAACGTAAGGAAAAGATACAGCTTCCTCCTCGCCCGCCCTTCCAGCCCTCCGCACACTGCAAAATGCAGCTATGTTAAGCATCATTTCGATCCGAAAAAATCGATTACATCATTTGTTTTGGTTTCAAAAACTCCCCCCACCCCCCACCCGGTATTTGTGCCTTCTTAGGGGTTGAAAAACAATCTACAAAGCGCCATTTCTGCGCGCATCGTATCCTTCCATTTAGTAGCATCATGCACTCTGGTTTGGCAGCGTTGCTGTGAATCCCAGTTGACCAGAACTCTCAGCTTTATCTCCAGATAAGTCGTCAGGAAAAGCCTCTAGCGACTTGGAAACAAATTTTAGTGCTCGCTCCCGCGCGTGTGTCATTGGACGTGTGGGAGGGGGTATCCCCGCGCGTATGTGCGTACAGTTGGGCGATAGGGGGTTGAGTGGCCCCATTCTGATACTTTATAACCGCTTGGGTTCAAATGCTCCAGAGCAGGCAATTACTGCTTCAATTGGAGCCTAGCTACTTCTTCCGGTCTTTAAAGCAATCAGAGTTGGATTAAGTCATCGTGCTTCTGTCGATTCTTTGACCAAGATGGATCTCCCCCAGCCACCAGCAGGTAAGGAGGAAAGCAGTACCTAGCCATTTTCAAAAAAATTGTAGTTCATCAAATGTTGGGCCATATTGGTGCCAATGCCTGTTGGTGTGTCATTTAGATATCAGCTACAAATGAAAGCTAATTTGCATTAAAGAAAGAAAATTGTTTCCCACACTCGATGACAAGATGATGTCCAGAGTTTCCCACAAGATGTGTGCATTTCACATAAATTATGCCCACAATGTGCTTAATGGCCTCACCCACACTCCTATCATAATATCCAATTTCCACCCTGGAAACTGGATGTCACTGATATCATGGAATGTTTGTGTGATGTCAGTGATGTCAGGCAGTCACTGCCAGACTGGCCATGCCATACATGACAATGTAGTGGATGGGCTGGCTCACTGATAGTACTTCAACTCACAGAGGTTATATGCATGTATTTTTGCCCTTTGCCCTTGCTTGTGGTGCTCTTACATAGTCATCTTGATTTTAAACTTCTCCATTTTACTTGCTATCATTTGCTCTGTTACAGATCTATTGATGACCTATTCAGTTCCTAATATTGTTTCTGTTTAAATGTTACCCTTGCCCCTAATTGTGTGTTATGTAATGCAAGACATAATTTGTGTTTGAAACTCACACTCAACACATAAAATTGGTTGCCAACCTGGTACTGACTGAATTGTATTGAATAATGTTCAGAATGCTACTCAGTTCAAACTCCCATGTGAAGGTGGTATATCCCCATTATCCAGAATTCTGTAGAATTATGGCAAACAGAAAGGGCTAAAAAAGCAAGTGAAAAGTAAAGAAATAGAAATACATAGAGAACAAAATGAATCAAGAGAGAGCTGCTACATGAATACCTTGCTGTAAGAATAACTGTATTATCAGTGTATCATAGCTAAAGCTTTCTGATAAGTCATCTGTCTTGAAACTTTGACTTTTAAATGAGAAGTTCCTTTGCTTTAGTAACAAGCAGCACTGAGGAATTATTGGATACCCAGTCTCACCTAATGCAGCTACAGTGTCCAGTTCTCAGGGATCCTATTTTGCAAAAGGTTGAGTTGCTAGTAATGTTGTCCTGTTTTTCAGATCCAGAAAGAAGAAACATCATTGATAAACTGGCCCAGTTTGTGGCCAGAAATGGTCCTGACTTTGAAGCTATGACCAAAGCTAAGCAGAAAGACAACCCAAAGTTTAGTTTTCTGTTTGGGGGTGAATTTTTTAACTATTACCAATACAAGGTCACTACTGAGCAAGCAAGTAAGTTTTGGATGGAGATGATGATATTTCTTTAATGCTATGCATCACATTCCATCACATATTAATATTGATGTAAACTCAGCTTGTCCATAGATAGGACTGTGGTTGCAGTCAATTGCATTATCTTGATGGCCTTTTTTGTTATTTCACCAAGCTGTCTGATGTGATGCATCACATTTTACCACAGCTTAGTCCTTATGTGCACTACTTGATTTTGGATGGATATGTTAGCGGTATCTGAATAGCCATTGCTGGTGTAACCTTGTCAATGTGTGTAAAACCTGGACAGAACAGTGTACTGCCCGTCATTGTCAGCTCAGTCAAGTTTATCCTACCACCACCTGCAAACCTGAGCAAAGCACTGATATTTTTTAGAATTTTGCTTGAATCTTTGCTATGTTTTACATTGCCTGAAGTATTTGCTATTTCCACATTATTATTGTTATTTTTGCCTTATGATTGTTTTACACCTTGAGAAGCCTGTGTTTTAAGTAGCTAGCATCTTGCAACATAACTTATAGGTAAGCTTTCTCTTGCTTTTTATGTATTGTTGGTAACACTAATCGGATGGTATGTTTTGTTTCTCAGTAGGTCTTTTCCAGGGTGCTCTAGGATACCTTATGCTGGAACATTGCTCTTTGTGTTGACAGTTCGAAAACAGCGAGAGCTGCGAGGTGGTGGCTCCCAAGCTTCCAATGGGGGTAAGGGATGTGCATGTTTCAGGATGCACTTTTTCCACTTTTGGCTTGAGTGGTTAGCCAATCCCAGATGCTGTACTTTATGGGGACAGATTTGATGACATGGTGAGGTGGTTTAAAGCTTTGGAGCAATGTATCATTACAGTACAGGTGATGATAGGCTCTTCAATGTCTGTGCTCTCTTTTCCTGACTGTAATTTTGGTAACCTTAGCTTGTTTATTTGTTTTCTTTTGTGGCTGTGGATTTATAGATTCAATTCAATTGTTCTTTGTTGATTTTTGGTGTCTTCTGTTGCATTTATTGGTCATGCATCTTCATTCATTTTGCAGTAGTATATGTCACTGGTGCCTGTAGTGTTGTAGATTTGCCTGACCACAGCTATTGTGGGCCGTGGGACCTGCACGACCGTGCTGCCCTCTGCGCCGCACTGATGCCTGATGCACTTGCCGACAGGTGGCTCCATGCCGGGCGGCGACGGCCGCTGGGGTCCGCCCGGCCTCGGCGGCCCGCCCAGCTCACAAGGATATGGGCCGCCGCCGTTCCAGCCGTTCTCGGCGGCGCCGTACCAGTCGGGCCCGCCGCCGGGCCAGTACGACCAATACGGTGGCCAGGGGTATGGCCCTCCGCCAGCCGAGTTCAGCCAGCTGCCGCCACAGCAGGCGGCGCCGCCGACGCCGGCGCCCGCCCCTGCGCCACCGCCGGCCGCGCCACACGCTCTGCCGGCCGCCGGTGTGGAGAGCATCACGCAACAGTTGCAACACCTGACCGACCAGATTACACAAAGCGAGCAGAACCTCAGCGCTCAGCAGCAGGTGTGTCCACTGGCCTGCCCTCCCTGCAGCCCTCCGGCCGACGCTGGCACTGAACCGGCCGCGCTGTCTGCGGTGGTTTCTTTACACGTGCTGCAGCTCTCGCTGGTGGCTCAGACCGCCTCTCGGACACGCGCTCACGCGTTGGCCGTGCCCCTGGCTGCACAGGGCTGTGACGTGCCGAAGCAGCACGCCTGACCTTTGATCCGGTATGTGGCCGGTCTTCCGTGCAGGTGCTGCTGCAGCAGCAGAGCCAGCAGTCGGACGAAGCCATCCGGCGCGCGCAGGACGAGCAGGTGATGGAGCTGGCGCGCGAGACGGCCATCTCGGCCGAGGAGTTTGACCAGGTGCTCGAGCCCATCATCAGCTCATGCACCAAGGACGGCATCTCGCATGGCAAGCAGTGGATCTTTGCCAAGGCGCAGTCGGACCGACACAGTCTGTTCTTGGCGCGCTACCTCCTCCGACGGTGAGTGTTCTGATGTTACCCGGCGCTCCTGTCTGGCGGCGTCCCGGCCGGCCGGGCTGACGTTGCCACGCTCCCGACAACCCGACCCTGTCAGCCACACAGCGCTAGTGGGGTTTATCACTTCGTCTGGCCTTGCTGTGACGCGCAGCGGGCGCCTCTGACTCGGGTGAGTCTCGGTGCGCCGGCTGGGGGCCGCGTATCTCCCTGGCTATCACGGCCCGGTGTGCGTTCACGCGCGGCTCTGCCACGCTCGCGGACACGGGATGGCACTGGTCCGAAGCACCCAGCGGGAGCCGGGCTTCGGTGTACAGCACTGGCCCGAAGCACCCAGCAGGAGCCGAGCTCCGGTTTACAGCACTGACCTGAAGCACCCAGCGGGAGCCGAGCTCCGGCGTACAGCACTGGCCCGACGAGCTCCGGTGTACAGCACTGGCCAACGCAGCAGTCCCGCGCGCGTGCAGGCCTTGTTTTCTCTTTTTCGACTGGTCCAGGCCGCAGAAAATTTAAAGTGTCTCACCTGCATACGTAACGACTGCAGTTTACGGAACGATACTGCTATTACATGGCCATATGATCAGCGTAGTCGGTGCGCCCCGAAGCCCAAATCGCCACCATCATTATCACTGATATTACATCCCTTTGGTGGTCTCACCATGTGTGTGCACACGAACACACAGGGTGCTGCCAGATTCAGGACGAAAGACGGTGCTGAACTGAACCTGGACTTTGAACCAAGTGTGGTTTCTGACACGTTGTTTGAAGTTCATTGTCTGTCTTGCGCTTGCGCATGTCCCCCATTATATCGCTACCAGTCTCTTTGCACACGTTGTCCCCGTCTGTCCTCAGATTGGTTAGTAAACGCGATGAAAATAATATGGTATAACATGCTTTAGAGAAGAGTAGGACACGCTTCCGCTTAGAGCTTTTTCTCCCGTAAACGGCGGATGGAAACCCCTATTTAAGAAGCGTTCTACCAGCTAAACAGTAATTACTGCGCGCGGGGCACGTGGACAGAGAAAGATGTGCGTGTTTTCCTGGTGGATTACCGTAGTCGCATGTAGAACATGCCGTTGACGTTCGGTGGAGCCCAAGCACTTATCTGGGCGTCGCGCGTGGTGCCAGGTCCTCGCAGATTATCTGCTCCGGTCACTGTGACTGTGTTGTTTCAACACCGCCCTTGATAGCTGGTAGGTGGATATTAAAAGCGTCATTATGCAACTGAGTAACGCTACATTTCTGCGTGGTGTCATCGTTATCTCTATAAAATACGGGTAACAGATGTTTGGTGTCTGGAAACTCCACGAACAAACGGGTGTTTGCGCCGCTGCGAAATACGGAGAATATTGAGCTCGCGTCCGCACTGCTGGTGGTGGAGTCAACTCCGCAGTCTGCTGTTCGGCGACGGCGTTGATCGAAGTTTTTTTTGTCGGCGAAGACATCCGTGTGGTCGCCTCACAGCCTCAGTCCAGAGATCACAATACTGCGTTGCACTATCTGTAGCAGACACGCGTGCCTCTGATGTGTATTGTAAGCAGGATGTGTTACAGAGCTTACTCCAGGTGATCACTCCTCGTCTCCAGTATGGTTCTCGTTCTGTCTCCACGCCAGTCGTGATATGCACGGGCGTGCGCCGGGGTTGTGTCGATGCTCCGTGGGACCACTGACACAGATCCCCAGGCGGCGTGTAAGCCGGCCAGCTGACGGACCGCCAGCGGCGTCGACGACCGCTCGGCTATTTGTAGTAGTGGCGCCGGCCGTGGCCGGTGCGGTAGTGGCGGTCCTCGTCTCCGGTGTAGTAGCGCGCGCCGCCCCCGTCCCCGTGGCCCAGACTCTGGAAGCCGCTATGGTCGTGGTCGATGTAGCGCCGGTTGTAGTGGGCGCCGCCGCCCGTGATATAGCCGCGGGCGGCCTGGGGTCGCCACGCCCGGGATGTATCCGTGGAGTGTCCCAAGCCGCCTAGGATGTAGTCGCCGCCACGGTAGCCACCGACCTTGCGGTAGCCGCTGCTACTGCTGCCGTAGCCACTGCCGATGCTGTGGTAGCCACCTCCGCTGCTGTGGTAGCCACCACCGCTGCTGTGGTAGCCCCCTCCGTCGCTGTGGTAGCCTCCTCCGCTGCTGTGGTAGCTACCTCCGCCGCTGTGGTAGCCACTGCCGATGCTTTGATAGCCGCCGCCACCGCTGTGGTAGCCACTGCCGCTGTGGTAGCCGCTTCCGCTGTTATGGTAACTGCCGCTCCCGTGGTAACCACTGCCAACGCTTCCGACTCCGTGATGGCCGCCTCCGCTGTAGCCGTCATGGTAGGCGTTGCCGTGGCGTTTTTTGGTGCCGAGCACGACGACGGTGTATTCCTTGCGGGCAGGTGGCCGATATGTGTGCCTGTTGTAGGAGTGGCCCTTGCTGTGGTCGAAGTGGTCGCGGTGGCGCCGAGAGTCGGACCGGTCATGGTAATATTGTCTGATGTACTTGTACTTGCCGTGCGATTGCCCGTAGTCATAGTCCCTCGCGTAGCCGCGCGAGTAGTCACCGTAGCCGCCGCTGTGGTGAATGGCTCCGTGGTGGTAGCCGTATCCTTTGCCTCCCTTACCGTAGTTGTACACCTTGACGTACCGCTTGCCGTAGCTGCCGCCGTAGCCGTAGTCGCGGGCGTAGCCGCCGCTGTGTCCGTAGCCGTGCCCGCCGCGGTGGTAGTCGCGGCCGTGCTCCGGCTTCGCGGTGCCGCCGTACGAGTACCGGTACCAGTGGTGTCCGGGCGAGCGGTACGGCGGCGGCTCGTCGCCGTACCGGTAGTGGTACGACTGGCCGTCGCCGGCGGCGGCCGCCGCGGCCAGCGCGACGCACAGCACTAGCGGCAGGCAGGACATGGCTGCGATGGCGGTGGCGGCGGCGGCGGCGGCGGCGGCGGCGGGGGGTGCCACTGGCTCGGCCTGCCGCCACCGCCGCTTTATAGGCTGGTGCCTCCCCCGCGCCGGCGGCCGGCGGCGCGCTCATTGGCTGGCGCTGACCTGGCGGGGCGCTGTACAGGGTGACAGGTGCGCGGGGGAGGCCAGGGCCGGAGTGGTCACATAATCTGACCAAATGTCCGGTATTGCTCACGCGCACATTAGAGGTCGTATGAGATTATTTGCCCTGCAAATGGGTTGGGCGAACGGCACCCGTCGTTGATCTCAGGATCCGTGAAAGGTACAAGCACGCAGTGTTCAGGATTAGGTCAGGCTGTAAGAAACGCATGTAACAGTTCGGTAACACCTTGTCATCATCCTTTTTGTCAAGTACGGTTAAGCTGCCTTGTGTGGAGCAGTGCTCTGATAAACATTGGTTGTTCCGTCTGATATCTGATCACGTGTATCTTATCAGCAAGCCTCCGATAGTTATCAGCAAAACTTCGTATTTTTTACTGCATCAGTATACTTTATAACAGTTCTAAGAGAAAAGGAAGACCAAATTACCAATTCCGCGTGCGTTCTATTTCCACACACCGCTTTTGCCCAACCCGTAGCATGATGGCCCATCGGCCATGAGTTTTAACCCATTGTACATCTTGAACAAGAACTAAGTTCTCTTTTGATGGTAGACCAAACTTGATACTGGCCACCGTCTTGGGCATTGAGGTCATAACCAAAACAATGGCTTATCGCACTTTCCAGGGGGGGGGGGGCATGTCAACACGCGCGATAGTCTTGATTTTGACATTTGGATCAACGTCAAGGATTACTCCAGGCGGTATGCTTCTCAAGCAAAATGGAGACCTGGGTCATTTTTGGTCAGTGACCTACTCTGACATTAAAAAGTCCATGAAATTTCTGTTACGGTCCCTGTCGTTAATAAATTCAAAATGAGTACCAGAAGCTGTCTAATCAAGCCTTTGATAAAAAAGGCGGGTTGGTTAAAACCTCGGTGTGACCTTTATACTTCATCCTAGGTCAATGGAATTTGTTGTAATCGTAAATTTGATGGTTTTATTGCCCACGAAACCATTTCAGAGGTGTATGGCTTGGACTTGCGCTCATATGCCGAACAAGGTGGAACGATCCCGTAGAAGTTGCCTTCACTGAAGGCCAAGTCCTGGCTGACCTACCATAGGTCGGCGGCGTTGCTAGGCAAGTCTAATTTTATGCGCCAAAGGTCCGCTACTGCATTGCCTACAGCTATGCAAAGTTTGCTGCCGCTGCGTCGTGCCATTCGGAACTTATTTTGTAAAAGCCTTTGAGAGGGGGTCAAATGGACTCGCTCCGACATGTGCGCTTGTTAAGATGCTGCATAACGCGTATGTCGGTTTAAGACACTTTGTCCGGCAACGAATAATGATTAGAAGCCTTGAATAACTTTTTGGGGTTAATTTTCCCTGAATACTCTGTTTGGGGGGGGGGGGAGGGGGATTTGTGTAGAGAGTAAGAGGTGAAGTACCCGCTAAAAAGTGTGGCTCATACCTTGATCCCACCACAAGGTCGCAGCGCTCCAGTTCGCGGATCATTTTACGTGTGCCTTTTTTGTCCGACGGTATCGCAGAGATTCCATTCTATTCGGTGTCATTGTACGTTACGCTGCGTCCCCGCTCTGCTAGGCAGACCACCCGCGGTATGCTGCCAGCTGACTGCCTCACAGACAGTGCTCCCGTACGAGTCTCTGTTTCGGGGGTCGGCCACTGACGTAACCGAAAGATCCTCCGCTCGATCTCCCGACCTCTGGAACTGCGAAACCTTACCGGAGGTGGCAGTAAGAATAGCAACAGCACACTATGGTGCTAACAATTTCAGTCTGGAGTACAAGCCGTCAATTATTTAACTGGCCTTTATGCGCAACTGTTTCTGTTTTGCAAATTAATATGATGATGCCTATGCCAGGGCAAGTTTGGAAGATGTAGATAGATAGGGAAATGCAATGTATTTGCCACCGTTCAAATCAGTGTCATTAACGCCTCTGACGCGAATATCGTAGCACGGTTTGCGGTTACCCATCATCAGTGTTGGAGCCACCAGCAGCCACTTCCACATGCTACAT